GTTCTTTATCGAGTCTAGAGCTTTCTAGGTTTGATTCTTCAACAAGAGCAATGTTCATTAATCTGCCACCGCTTCCCTATCAATTGGTATCGTATTTAGGCCGATTCTTGGAAATAAGCAAGGAATCTTGCTTGTTCTTGCACACAAAACCGTCAAGGTACCCCAACAGAGCTAGTTCGCAAAAGATTCATCGTTTCAAGTCACAAAAATTGAAAAAAATGAAAACGAAGTAATTTAGGGCTTATTTTCTCCATATTTCATATTGATTCTAATATTAATCTCCAGTTAAAAATTCACCACAATCAAAATTCATTAGAGCCTTCAAATACATCGTTCAAGTTTCATCGACAGATTCGGTCTAGAATCTTGTTGAATTTCTTGAACATTCTACAGGAAGAATTTTGTGGTAAAAATTTCCATATTGAAACTAAATATATTTAATATATTTCACACAAAAAATCAGAATTTTTGGAGATCAATAACACCTTCGAACAAAGCAATCACGAAAAACAGATTGTTTGAGAACTCACCGTTCAACAGAGTCTACTGGATTCTACTGAGGGTATTTGGTTCTGATATTTTACAGGTGGTTTTTAGACATATCGAAAGAAATTCGAGAATGTTTTCAAAATTTTGGACATCGGTAACCCCCTCAAAAATATTGCTCAAGTTGACCCAGCGTTTTCTAGATTACTGGTTTAGTTTTTTTTTCATTGACTCTTCTTGCTTTAGGTTCTTTTGTTTTCTTTTTTATTGTTCTTTTGCATTATCTAACACATTATCTTTCTTGTGTTAGTAGGATTAAAGAGTTTGCATACTTCTTCCTTCTTTGCATTCTCGTTCTCTTGGAGTTTAAACCTTATTTGGTCTCTTAGAGCTTTTAGGTTTTCATATCACCTTTTCTAGTAATCAAACTCCGATACAAACTGTGGAAGACTACTTGGTAAAGTGAGTTTTAAAGAGTACAAGATCAGCTTACTTGCCTCTCGTTGTGTAACTTTCTTGGAGTGACTTGTGAGGTTTCTTGTTTTGTTGAATTTTCTTTAATATTTTTATTTTACTTTGAAATTTTCTTTTGAGTGTTATGATTTCAGGATGGGCGATAATAACAACAAGACACTTAAGTTATCTTAGTCACACTTGCCCGACTTACGACTCAAATTGAAAGATTTGATGAACTTAATAATACCGTGATAGAATAACAAGAACCACAACTGGATCTACTAAACCAGAATCTAAGACCAAACAATGTTGAACTTTTGGTACCCATGTGAGAACAACCACATTTCCAAGCACCTGAACTCTTTGCAAAACCAAAGTTCACGATCCCATCTTTCAAAGGAGACAATGATCGGAGAGGTACATCGATTGGGAAGGAAAATTTGATCTTATGTTCGCATACCATGATTGTCCCCAAGCTAAACAAGTTCCCCTCATCACCATGCAATTCGAAGGATATGCTCGAACTTGGTGGATGCAAACAAGGAAAAAGATCGAGAACTTCCAAATTCAAGCAATCATTTCTTGGACTGACCTCAAACAAACCATGAGGAATCGATTCCTACCGACACATTATACACAAGAAGTTAAACTACGACTATACTAACTTCGATATGGTAGAAGTTCAGTTGAAGACTGCTACGAAGAGATGCAGTCCTTATTCAATAAGGCTAACATAACCGAAGAAGAAAAGGACATCGTGTCAAGATTCATCATTGGCTTTAACTAAAACATCACTGATCTTCTTGACCTCTATGGGTACGAAAACCTTGAATATACATTAAAGAAGGCAATAACAATCGAAGCACAAATCCAAAGGAGATTCTGATTCAGAGAACATTACCAAGGTACTTCATCCTCTTACCAAGGTAATCCTTTAAATCCTTCCTCATCTTCTACTCCACCTTCTCAAATAAAGTTGAGAGGTGAAAAACCCTACAAGGAGAAACAACGACCAACAAAGAATAACACACTTCCAGACCCTAAAGATCAAATGAGAATTTGTGAGGAGGTAGGGAAAGAAAAAAAAAGAAAAAGTTGAGAAAGAGACAAAAGCAAAAAAGGTCACTAGTTACAAAAGCCAAAAGAACAATGACCCATGGGATGTGAGTGAACATAATTGTGAGAAGAAAAGAGTGACTCAAAATCTATGTGTGAGCACAAAAGAATTGAGAGAGAACCTTTTACAAACAGCCTTGCATCCTTGTTCGCTTTAGGGAATTAATTGATTCGATTTCTAACATTAACAAGGATTTGCTAGTGTGTTTTCATCATTGCTATAGGATTTTCAAGAAGTGTTAGGTGATCCACCTAACGGATTACCACTGGAAAGGGGAAACAACACCAAACCAATCTAATGCAAGGTTCCACCATACCTCGTCAAACATACAATCTCGAAGAAACCAAATAGTTAGATGTGTTACAAAAAGGCTACATCTAGGAAAGCCTTAGTCGTGACGCCATCTTAATAATGAAATAGGATTTGAACAACTCCACAGGCTTTATAATTCTTGCATAGTGAATCCATGTAAATGATCAAAAAGTAAAAGCAACACGAGACTAGCCCACACCATCTTTTATCGCCAAGAGTTGTCAAATAGTGCTAGGTGACCCTCCTGACGTGTTACCACCTAAAAGCCCTAATCATTACGCCATATCAATGAAGAGTCATAATTTACAAGATTCTAAATACCAAGGTAAGAAAAAAACAATAGACGATAACTCGGATATCAAAGATGTATATCACGATAACTCGGATATTTCTAATATTTCTACCCATACTTTCAAAAGTGCTTTTAATGACCTTTATCTTGTATATGGGTTTCCTTGCCAACTAAACAGGATCTATAGTCCACAAATCTCCTCCCAAAAATTCTTAATTCATGAACCACACTTAGGAGACTTAAGGGGTTACTTTAAAAAACCAGTTGACATGGTTTTCTAAACACTCATTCTCGCCACACTAGAATAAAACCATTGAGAAATTATCTGAAGCAATCATACAGAAAGCCAACAGTGGTCGGTGCCATATTGAATTTCAACCTAAACATCAGATTACAAGACTTGTATATAAAAGTGGATTTCAATACTACAAGAGATCAGTTCCTACAAAGAAGAAACCTCGACTTAAATGCATAATGACACATCACATTGATCCTGATAAATGTTTCACAAGTTTTCCTTTCAACACATCTAATTCTCTTTCTCTTCGATTTTCAGATTCGAGGACAAATCCTTTTGAGGAGTGGGGGAATGATACATGCACCAGATTTCATAATACATGCTTCTTTGGACAAATGTTTCTACTCAAACCTATTAGAAGAACAAAGTCTCGAAGATTCAAAGCATATATATTCGGTAAGCATAATGTGAATGAATCATTAAACGATTCTAATGTTGCTCCCTTTAATGTTTCCGATTCGAGGTCAAATTGTTTTGAAGAAAGAGATGATGATACATGCATCACAAGGCTCACATCAATGGAAGAAGTAATAACTCTTCCAAATGATCCACTCGTCCAAACCTTGGAAAAGGAGACCAGAACAGTAGCATACTTACGACTACTTTTTGAATGGGATTCTGATCTTATTTGGTCAACATGTCTTCTGGATATACAACCATATATCTCTTATCTTTCCAACGGTTCTTTAATCGCATCAATTTGATATTGGAAACTCAAGATACGTTCATTTTAGTGAAAACGGCGCATGCAGAAATTCCTATACGAGACTAATACGTTATTTTGTAAATATTACGAATTTTTCATATTTATATTGATTATTTGTAATATAATTTAATATAGGATGATGCATTATATTTTAGGATTAGATTTATTATTTTATTAGGAATTAAGGTTAAGTTAAAACATTATTTTTAGTTATTATTATTTTATTAGGAATTAGAGTTAAGACATGTTTATTTTGTTATTATTTTATTCATTAGTTATTTAGGACCTTTAGAACTCATCTCCTGTATAAAGGAGGTTTCATTCAACTTTGTAAATCAGGTTTCTTTGATTAATAATACAACGAAAGTTCATTTTTGCAAGTGTTGATTGCCTTGTGCCTTCGAAACTTCTTCTCTTGGAGTTCTTTCAAGTTCTTGTGAGGGAGATTAATCTTCACACTCCAATTTTCCTTTTCATCACGACTACGATGGTTGGTTAGAGCCATTTATCGAGTTTTCCTTTTCATTGCGACTAGAAGGGTTCGATAGGACACTTATCCATCTATTTTTCACAAATCTATCAGCACCATCAATCATCTTTACCGTCCACCTTTATAAGGGATATCTTTTGATTTCTTTATTATCTTATTTTATTTTCAATTTCTTTATCTTTTGTTTATTTTGTTCTAATCTTATTGCCTTTATCTCAAAACCTAAAAGAAACCCTAAAGAATCCTAGCTTCTGCCGCCACCTTTCCCTATTCATCCCTTTGTTCTTCATCGAGTTTAGAGTTCTCTATCATAAACTAAGGTGATTATAAAGTAGTATATGTTCTAAATGATCGATAAAAGATTTTGCATGAAAAGAACTATAAATCTAAATGCTGTAAGATTGAGCGTACAACAGAAGCATGAAGCATTGAAATAATTCTGGAAATATTTTAAGGTCAATTTCGAATGAACACCTTGAATGTAAGGGTCATGTGATTGTAATCCTTGTGTGGAAAAAGGTTCAAGCATAAGTAGGCTTAGTGCTAATAACATGTTAACTGTTGCATAAACTACCGTCTGTTCTACTGTGAGGGCCACCATGGAAGCCGTCTTGTAGAGAGCCAACTGAACCGTTGTTACAACTATCGGCGCCGCCTCAAAACCTTTCCTGCTACAATTGTGTTTGCCAAGTGAGGAAACCCTAAGTATACATATGGGCCAATTAAGTCCAAAAACAAGAATCAAGAAAAACTCCTTACTCTCCATGCTAAGTCTAGTTCATTCTCATGTAAAATGAAGGGAAAATATATAATTTTATTCTATAAATATTTTAACTTACAGATATGAAATGTAAAAAAAAGGTCAGACCAAGCAAAAGATGAACAGCACGAGATTTCTCTACAGCAATGGCGTCGTTTCATACTCCTCCGAGGTTCCTCCCGTCGCCACTTTTCTCGAATCACTTCCAGGTACTTTAATTCAAATTGTTCCCTTTTCTTTCTAACCTTTTACTTCTTTTTCCCCCCTAAAATTTTAATCAAAATCTTATTGGAAAAATAAATTATTAAAATTGATTCCATTTTTTAACACTCTCAGGAGCTTACACAACAACTAGAACACACGAAAATGGAACCACCCTTTTGTTTTGGGAAAGACATTTACAAAGACTGTCGAATTCTGCGAGAATTCTACTAAATTCAAACCCAGAACTCATATTCAAGGCAAACAAGAAAAACCCGTCACTTTTTCCTCCTTTATCAATCACATCATCGTTGAAATGGGAGACAGGGATTCAGGCATTGGTTAGTAATTCGTTGAACCAAGTTTTACCCATTGCTCTGGAAGAGAGATCTAATGGGGAGGAGTTAGCGGTTACTGCTCTTGTTTCAGGGGATTTCGAGAAGCGAAAGGCAATGAACGATGTTGGTGATGATGATGATGGAGTTTTTCAGTTTCTTGATGTTCATTTGCATATTGGAAGTTATGCTCCTCCTGTGTTTGGGATTGAAGAAACTGGGGCACATTTGGCTTTGGTGGGTCGTGGAAGGGATATTTCAAATGCAAAGTATTCGGATTGGGTAAGGTTAGAATTGCTATCAATTCTTGTATTTGTGTTGTATTAGTATATAGTGTAGTAATTGCGTCTAAACATAAGAACTTGGCACTCTGTGTAGGTTACGGAAGCCATTGGAGAAATTGAGGACTCCTTCAGTGACGGAGCTCTTGTTGTCAAACGACGGTGATCGAATTCTTGAGGGATGCATTACGAACTTCTTTGTCATTTGCCAAAGGGTAAGTAGTTAAGAACTCAGAATCTACACTTGGAATGGTTTAGTCTTGAAACATAAATGATCGACACTAGGGTCTGAGACATATCTAAATAATAGGCTTCAGGGATTTGACCTTTTGGGTACATGGAAATTAAATATAAAAAAAAATTGCATAGAACCATTGTCCGATATACATCGTAGTAGCATAGCTTGAATGTTGAAACCTTGTTTTTTAAATTTTTGATTTTTTAAAAAAAATATTTATGTTTGAGCATCCGATGCATATTCAGATATGAAAGTGAGAAACTGAGGATATGATTTGATTTCTTCAAATACATTGAAAAACTTAGAAAAAAAACACCATGTCACATACGTATTGTATACAAGACTTTTGCTTGAGTCTACGTAACTTAGGTCTCAAGAATCTAAGATTGTCAGTCTGGCTAAATTGTAGGAAAATATTGATTTTCATGATTTATGGCTGTTTTATAGCCATTTTCATACTGTGTTGTGTTAGTGTAGCTATGGCTATTTGTACGCTTCTTTTGTTTTCTCTTAAGCTTATAATTTGTATTCTTCTATGGCATTTGCTTTTAGGATAAGAGCGAAGCTGAGGGGAAATACCTGAATGACTACGATAACACGTGTTTCGTTGAAGTACAGACGGCTCCTATTTCTGATGGTGTTCTTCCCGGCATTATACGACATTTAGTTATCGAGTAAGCTCTTTTCTTGTCTTCTGAATTCTATTTTCTGTTGTGAGTTCTTTATCACCTGAAAATTTTCATCCAACTAAGTTCTTTTCAACAAATATATTTAACTTATGGATATCAATGTTAAGTACAGATGTGTCAGATGTAGGTATATTCAATTATTTGTCAAGTTTATTTTTTCCCCCATTTATTTGGAGGGTTAAATCCCTATACTCATTTCGAAAAATATGCTGGACATGAGTACTTTAAGAAAATGGAGAGTTGGATTTATAGATTACCATGCTCGTTAACTATCATTTCTATTTTTTAAGTGTCAATAGACTTCAAACTTGACTACCCATCCCATTCTTTGCTAAAAAGATAAGGATGAGAAGTAATTGAGTCTAGTTTATACTGGCTAATTAACAAATACTGGATTGGGGTCAAACCAACATGACTCAAAGTCGCCAATTGAATCAGATTATTCTATTAAAATATAAATTAAATGTTAAATAGGTTATTTTGATATTAAATGAATAATAAATACAATAAACACTAGTTAATAAAATATTTACAGTTCATATCTCGTACCTATGTTGAATATGAATCAGATAGACAGATACATATCAAATAGGGTACTTCAAGAAAGTGAAGAACTAGAGTATCTTGGAATATTGAGAGGTTTTAGATTCTTACATGATTTGAATGCATGTGCATCATTCTAGAGGTAGATTGCACAAGTATCAGGTGGTGCAAGTGTTGGATACTGGCATACTTCTTCTAACGTGAGTTTGTTTGTTTTTCTTTTAAACTTTTTCATGCATTTGGAAGATCCTTAAAAGTTGTATCTTCACACTCATGTCTGCATATGTTTGACACGGATGTTGTATACGAGTATTTCAAACCATGGTATACCATGCTAAATTGTGAACTTTCCTATCCGTGTAGAGTATGTCATAGCAAAGGCATCCCAGTTCGTGAAGTTGCACCATCATGGGAAAGACATCAACTTTGGGAAGAAGCATTCATTACAAGTAAATTATTTTTTATTCCAATTTACCATCCTTTTTTCAGAGTGGTATGCGCGTATGCATGTGTTCAGTTCACACATTTAACTTTGAAGCAAATAGATAAAGTTTAAATGGTGGTATTGTCAGAATTAACCGTGTGGAAGTCTCTTTTGTTTAGAAGTCTTATGATACGAAAGGATAACTGTCTTTAGATAGAATTATCTTTAACAGAAAAGTCCTATTAGAAGCAAGCAACTCAGTTTATTTAAACTATTGTAATCTCCTAATTCAGTAATCAGGTTTCTCTAGTATTTTCTCTTTTATTCTTTCTCCTTCGATTTATTTTCTTATCTTAGATTATAACAATACCATTAAATGTGTCGTGTCTTAAACATGGATATTTAAAGAAAAATAATGAAGGTTTAAACAATAAAAATCAGTTGAAACAATAAATTGTTTTGCAGATAGCTTGAGAGTTCTGCAGCATGTGGAGACTATTAAAGTTCCTCATCCATGGGAATCTCTCGAAACAAATTGTTTGGAAGGAATATCGTGGGTCCAGAAAAAATTTCAGGTACATGATCTTTCTTTTGTTGTTTTGCGGATAGTTGTTTTCTCACGAGTGTTTTTTGCTTCCTTTTGTTGAACTAGCAGGGTCCCGGAGTTATGACAAAAGTCATCCAGGTAAAATTCTACAACTATAAATGTTCGTGTAAAACTATTGCGTATGTCCAGAATAAAATTGATGGGATGTTAGAAAATTGAACTTTGGATTGCCCTTTTACATCAGGAGAGTCATTTTTTCTCATCTTATTTTGTTCGTGTTTTGATTTTTTCTTTATGTGCTATTGGAGGAGCAGAAAGAGATCATGGAGAGAGCCAGGACGGAAGGGCATTGGTTAAAGAAACCCGTGTAGTAGAAATGGAGTTTCTTGTGCTGTAAGATTTTAATTGGCGAGCGAGTCACGAAACATATGGACCGTGTACATTTGGGTTATACTTGGATTGGGTATGTTTTGAATAAGTTTAGATCATGTTCAAGTTGAAAATTTAATTTGGAAACCGTTAAAAAATGAATATATATATATATATATACTAGCCGTTCATAAATATGGATAAAACTAAACTAACCAAAGTAAATGGTTCTAGTTTACTATTACATACCATTTAAAAACAAATCCAATAAAGCAACATATAGATATAATATATATGCAACTAATAAGTCAAAGATAAGATGTCTTACTAATTCTGATATTAATATGATTTTTTGAAAAGATGCTCAAGAGGCACCTCATTTCACGTTCCTTTCTCTATCTGAATCTACGCATGAAAACTTAGTGAGAGAGTAACATGGCTAAAGTAAGGTAAAACATAAATTTCGTTAAGTATTGTAAATGTAAATTTGTAATTTAAAAAAACATTAAAACTTTCAAACCGAGCTATTTAAGTTGTTTTCCTATTGAAAACCTAAAAATCACTATCTAATGATTTTATCAAAAATAATGTGAATCAACATTAAATATAACAAACAATTCATATTTTTTTTTTCTTTCGTACATTTATCAGAACTTTCATTTTTCATATTTTTTTCTTTCATATATTTGTTATAACTTTTACATTTACTTTTATAACCCAATGTATACGTAAGAGAATGTAAGGAACATGAATCAGACGAATGTGCTCAATAAGCACTTCACAATGCTATCATTGTAATCAGAATATGCACTCCAAGTGGATTCATATCATTTGCTCTAACGGTGCTACACACAATGTACACAAATGTACCAGATCATAATCAAATTCACTCCACCTCGTGGCATGTCAATTGTACCTACGACTCTCAATGCAACATACAAGGGGCTTTCAGATCATATCTTATTCATTTAACAATCAATATTTTAAATTCATAATCATTTACTTCATCATCGTCAAAATAGAACATGGGCAGTTTATACCTTAAACCATCCATAAAACTTTATACAACATTATTGAAGTAATCCATATTTAAAATAGAAAACAAACTTTAAATAATATGAGGTTGACTTATCACAAATCGTCCTCGATCAGAATAATTAAATAAATAATTTGCATTCACTTTGAAATTTTATTTATAAGTCAAAAATATAAGTATTAGTAAGCTTTAGATTTAATCATTTTCTTTCAAATGCTTCAACTACATAATTTATCATAATTTCATGTTCTGGCAGTTTGCACTACCTTCAAAGAAGTATTATTTTGTATTAATCTACATACTCAAAAATTATTTCGTTTATACCATTGAAAACTATACTCAAATAAAAATGTAAACATATAAGGCACTTCTTCTAATTCAACTTGCACAATTTATTGCGAATTTTCAAAGCTAACTTACAGAAACTGTTTTAAGCAGAATTTGTTGCCCTGTTTTCCGACCTATCCTATGTTAAAAATTCATATATTTTTGTATACTACTAGAAATAAGTAGTCGTTTATTTTAAACGAACCTAGACTGATATATGAATCCCACGGTATAGACATTATCCTCTAATCATGTCTGTATAATATTTGGTGATTTTCTAAACTTACTGTTCGAATCATAATTTCTAGGTTTGTTTTCCTTAATTATCATACGTAGCTTATTCCATAATTCTTTTAGCTTACCAAATGAACATATATGCATGAATTACAAATCACATAATATTTAGGAGTTGTTTCTTACCATAGTAACTCCGTCACTGGCTCATCGCAAGCCAGTGTTTGTTCGATAACATAAATACAAGTTAAATATGCACTTACCTTTGTCTCACTATCGAACCTTCTCCATGATAATCTTCTCAATCCAGCACTTTTTCCTTCTCTTTCGAGTTACTTGGATCACTAAATTTATCATTGTCTGACGATGTCATATAATAACATGAAATATTCAAACTATATGTTAGTATCAAATTAACATAATCTAAGCTTAAATATAAAATTCGATAAAAAAATCGGTACTTACATCGATATAAAACTAAATCATATTTCGTCATAACTTCAACCTTCCCAAAATACTCATTCAATTTCTTAAACATTTATTTCTGTCGACAACCCTTCAACTTTTGTCAATTGCACAATCAAGCCATTAATTATGAATTCTTTCTAGAATTCACCTTAAATTTTCCATTAAAATCATAATATATATTTTTTTGGATAATTAAGATTTTATTACCCAAAGAAAGCAGAATACTGCTACAAAAACCAATCCAATCAATGGAACAAAAACAAGGGTAACCTATGTACAACAAAAATCAAACTATACCCCAATGATTACAAATATCTAAATTAGTGTTATCTAATATATTGACATTCCTATTACTTAAATGAGACCCTGCAATCTGCTTGATTGAGTGAAGAATTTCGTCTTCAGATCTGTAACTACCTCTGAAAAGCCTTCGGTGCCTTTCCTCCCATATAGTGTAGTTGAAAGCACACCAAGAAAGCTTGAGGATGTTTGTAATTAGAGGTTTTCCCTTCACCATTATGATCATTTCACATTAATTACTAAAATTTCCAGCACCTTAATAAAATACTCAAATCAATGATTTAACATTTAAAAACTTGCAAATTTCATCCTAAACTATCTTAGACTTTTTGAATTCAATCACCCACCTTTATAAACTTACAATTTGATCCCAACTCAATATTTAAACTCAAAAATCACCATACTAATAAAATTTCCAACATTACAATTTCTTATTCAAAATAATACTGACACTTTTCAAACTTACAAACAAGTCCCCTAATTTATAGGACTTTTCGAATTCCACCATGAAAATTTACCAAATTCATAATTTGGTTCCAATCAACTTTCTAACTTAAAATCCCAATATTTCAATAATGTCCCGCAATTCTCAAAACTTGCTAGATAGTCCTTTTACTTTCAAACTTCCAAATTGATCTCCAAATCACATAAAACACTTCTAATATCAATTCTAGACCATAAGAAATTTTTCAATAATTTCCCCCCAAATTTTCCCCTATGGTCGAATGCTTCATATTCTCTAAGGTAGACTTTTTGTTCAATTTCAAGCATGAATTCAATTTCTTTACAACAAATTCATGTTATTCTATTCATTTAAAACCCTAGCATGGTTGAATCAACTACAAGGCTTTACACATCATTTTAATTAGAGAAAATAATCTCAGTGACCAAAAATCCCATATAATATACGATTTTAACCAAACTTTTTCCGGATTTGCCAAAATGACCAACAAAATCGCAATGCAATCGCTAATTCACAACGCGATCTCCATTATCGCAAATTCGCGTTGCATTTCGCGTTGCGATAGTTGGAAATCGCGTTGCGATGGTATACAGTGTCGTTGCGATTTTCCCAATTCGCAATGCGAATAAGTAAAACGCAACGCGAATTGGGAAAATCGCAATGCGATACTGACTATCGCAATGCGATACTTACTATCGCAATGCGATAATACAAAATCGCAACGAGATACTGACTTTCGCAACGCGATTCTGACTTTCGCAACGCGATTTACATAGCGCCATTCGTATTAACGCGTATTTTTTTTTTCAAATTCTAAACACGAATTTTTTCTTAATAAATCGGAAACTGAACCGTCCACAGTAATCGCAACTCATAACCTCAAACCCAAAATCACAACACTCAGTCCCATCTCCATCTCTCACTCTCTACGGCGAAATCCGTCCCCATCGCCGACGAAATCCCTCACAACCATTCATAGTCAAAAATCCTCACAATCATTCTGAAATGGAAAATCAACCTCCGAGGGTTAGTTTTTTTATTTTTATTTTGAATTTTTTGCATTATTTTAGGTTTTTCATATTGAGATTGATGATAAGTTTACTGGTAATTTCAATAATAGATTAACCATTTCACTTAGATTTCTTATTAAATTCATTCGATTGCTGCCAATACTGCTAAATTGTTTAGCCTGTGAAGTTAGTATTTTGTCTTTGTTTTGTCTTTTGGTTGAAGTAATGCAGAAGAAGAATAGTTTCGAGAATGAAAATCGCAACGCGGAAATAACTATCGCAACGAGAGAATCGCAACGCGAATAAAAAACGCAACGCGAAACAAAATCGCATTGCGATTTTCATTTCGCGTTGCGATTGTCTGGTCGCGATAGTCATTTCGCGTTGCGATTCTCTCGTTGCGATAGTCATTTCCGCGTTGCGATTCTCATTATCTCGTTGCGATTTTCATTTCAACCAAAAGATAAAAACAGTGTTGCAAATTTTAGTTTCAAGAATAAACTACTATTTATGTTTATTGTTTTGTTTTTGGTATATCTTGACAGTGTAGTTTTTGGTATATCTAACTTATGTTTATTGTTTTTTTGTAGAAATTTTTTCGGCTTCATTGACATTAAGGAATAAAGTTAGCCTAGCCACTACAATTGCTTCGAAGCTTTCACCTGCACAAAGAAAATTGTTTGAAGAAACCTGCTTCGGGCCATGGCTGAGAGTACAGCATCCGGGTGGAGATGCTAGTTTGACCCATTTGTGGCTTCAGACCATGACTAGCGATCTACCCGACAGTATACAACGTGGTGAGGAAGAGATATGGTTTCATTTTCCACCGGCGTATACTTGTTTTGGGCGGAAGGAGTTCTGCTTAATCACTGGTCTACGATTCGGACACGATGATGTAGGCCGGTACACTCGTCATATCACCCGCCCATCATGGTTATCCAGGGTTTTTCCTGATGAGTCAATAGAGAAGCCGAACTTACACGTCGACGACATGAAGAAATTGTTTAATAAGAAAGATGGTTTTACTCGGATGAATGACGTCGATGTTATCCGAGTATGCCTTCTACTACTTTTGTATGCCGGCTTTTTAGGTAGAGAGACCAGACAACCTATTCCTCATGAGCTAATATTATTGGTAGAGGACCTAAATGCATGGAATCTGTTTCCGTGGGGTTCGTATATATGGAAAGCTACCTGGACTAAGTTGTCGTCTGCCTTGATGACCGCAAAAGTTTGCGGGGCGATGGGTCGA